TTCTAACTCAAGTAGAGATTTGCAATAAACTAAGTAAAGAAAGCACTAGAATAAAACCAAAACATGTATTAATCTGGCAACTGTTGGCCCTGAATATTAAGACTATATAGTTATCTTCAGCTTTTGGGGTAGAAAGGATGAAATGGAGATGAAAATGGTTGTTAATTCAGTGAAGGCAAGATGCTGCAGTCGCAGCTCTAGACACATGAAAGTAGAGATTTGCAATAAACTAAGTAAAGAAAGCACTAGAATAAAACCAAAACATGTATTAATCTGGCAACTGTTGGCCCTGAATATTAAGACTATATAGTTATCTTCAGCTTTTGGGGTAGAAAGGATGAAATGGAGATGAAAATGGTTGTTAATTCAGTGAAGGCAAGATGCTGCAGTCGCAGCTCTAGACACATGAATCAGTGGAAGACAGAGGGAGTTAGACTACATATCAAAATCACTCCCTATTCAGTTGTCTTTTTCTCAAAATTGTCACAAAACCAAGGTGAGCACTTGTTATTAATCTGAGAGTCATTTAAAGCTGAAACCTGGATGCATGAAGTTTCATGGAGAAAGTATTACAGTAAGGAACAAATCCTGCTGCAGTCAAAGTTTTCTGATCAATTAAGCCTCTCCTGTTCCCTGCTAAAGGATCATCTGTGGACGCAATACATCAGGTGCAATAGGAGAAACTCCCTGACATCTTGGACTACATGATTGGTAATATATACAATTATGGAACCAATAGAAAAGAAAATGACTACCTGTAGATAAGTACGGTAGGGTCTCTTCAAATCGAACAAATGAAGATTTCCTATGATAGGTAATGCCCTTGGTCCTGGAGGAAAAATTTTTCTCCGGTTGTTGTTCCAGAAACCTCCTATTTTCAAAATGAATAGAAAAGCCAGGATGAACACTAAACCAACAGAAGTGCTGCTGCTCCACTCCATCTCTGTTCAGACAAGGATTTGCTGCAGAACAGAAAAAAGAAAATGTGGACTGTAGATCTCCGTCCTCCTGCAAAAATTTCCCTTGAGAGACTTGTACAAGTAGTCCTTAAACCTCTCCCATTGAAGGGTATGTTTGTCCTGCAATTTGTGACTAGTTTTGTTTTCTCCCCCTGTGTTTGCTAATAAAGGCTACAGTGGCAGGTAAATGCTTCCTAGCCAAGTGTGTGACTGGGTGACAGTGTAGCTCACTGTCCAAGTGTCAAAGTCCAAGAACATGGAGAACTGCAGATCGTTACCACAGTGTTTGGTATAAAGTCATAAATTCTGCACCCTGTCCAGGTTACTGATTAGTTATGTTTTTGTCATTAGTACAGGTACAGCCTTGATACCCTGACAACTGACATCAGCACACCACTGCTCAAGTGAGTAGTGCACAGATATATAGATATAGATTTTAAGTGCTTAGGAATTGGTGTAACTTTGCTTCCACCAAATTCATTGGGAATTTCAAATCAAAGAATAACAGAATGGATGAAGTTGCAGGGGACTCTGAAAGTCATCTGGTCCAACCCCCTAGACTGTCTAGACAGGTTTTGAATATCTGCAAGGACTTAAACAATTCTATGATTCTAAGGAGGGAGACTCCACAACCTCCCTGGGTAACCTCTGCCAGTACTTGATTACCCTCACAGTACAAAAGTGTTTCCTGATGTTCAGAGGGAACCTTCTGTGTTTAAGTGTATGCCCATGGCTTCTGGTCCTGGCACTGGGCACCACAGAGAAAAGTCTGGCTCTGACTTCTTTGTACCCTTCCTCCAGGTGTTTATACAGGCTGATAAGATCCTCCTAAACCTTCTCTCTAGGCTAAACAGTCCCATCTCTCCTCATATAAGAGATGCTGCAGTTCCTTCAGTGTCTTCGTAGTCCTTTTTTGAACTCTCTCCAAACTGTTCTTATCTGGTCCTACTCCACCTTCCTAAAGAAGGTCAAAAGGCACTAGAATGTCATTCATTTGACATATATCTGGAATTTAACTATTAATAAGGAACTGAGGGGAGGCTTAAAGCTGAAATTCTGCTGGAGCGTTATGAAGGAGAGGAAGAGCTCTCTATTGGCAAAAGCCTCACCTTACATACTTTGTTAACAGGTTGATCCAAGTGTGAGAGAAAGAAGACTGTACATCCCCAAGAAATGTCAAACAAATACAGTTGGTCATCTGGTCATTTAATTAATGCATTCAATCAGCAACAGATTTGAATACAAATGTTAAAAGACATTTTGCAAGCAAATATTTAGCCAATGGCTTTAAAGTAAATTTGCCTTGAAGTAGTGAAATACAAAGATACTGCTCTGAAAGAGGTAGCTGTAAGACAGCTGTAAGACAGCTGTAAGACTGGTATTTTTCAAAAGGGCTAACTATAGGCTTGGCCTTTGATTATTCTCAATAAGATATAATTAAACATTTTCTCACTTAAAAAAACCCAAAACCAAATCTTATTTAAGCTTTTTTTAATGTAAAAACAAGTCAAGATGAGAACAGAGGTAAGACAGAAAGAGTATTCAGTGGTTATTGGAGGGGATAAGATATTGTCAGCCTTTTATGAGAAAGAAAAGAAACACTGGTGATTGTGAATCCCAGATTTAGAGTAGTTGCACTTTAACTTTGGTTTATTTTTCAGTCTCATCCTCTAAATTCTTCCTCCACTCTGTGTCTTGTATAACTCCTTACTTTTCTTTCCTACCAGTGTAGGGCTCCCTCATTGAAGAGCAAAAGGATTCTTAATATATTGTTTTAAGCTTCTGTAAGGCTGGACACCTCTCCATAGTGTCCAGCAACATATTACACAGAAATTGTAACTAATTACTAAAGAAGCTCTACTGGCTCAGGGTATTCAAAGCTTTGATTAATTGGGAAATAACCAACCAAAGAAAATACCCTAAGAGAGAGTACCAAATGCCATGGAATTTAAAGTATGAAGGTGAGCAATTAGAGAATTAAAGAATCTTTGAAAAAACAAACTATACACTTAAGGGCACAGTCACATGAAACAGAAAGTAACATTTAAAGCTCTGATTAGACATGTTTTTTTGAGAGAACTTGTAGAACTGATTTCTCTGGAGTAGTGATCTTCTGAAAAAAAAGGCAGAGGTCAATAATGAGGACAAGGGTGTGGGTTACTATGGAAAGATTATAAGGAGAACTGGAGAACAACATTATGTAGTTTATTTTTCCTTTTTTTATTAAAAAAACTAGATGTAACTATTGAGAGCATCATTCACCAGGGAAGGTTCAGCCTGGATATTAGGAAAAAATTATTCACTGGAAGAGTAGTCTCCCTAGAGAAATTATGGAGTCACCAACCCTGGAAGTGTTCAATATATGAGTAGACATAGCACTTCACAATATGGTTTAGTGGGCATGGTGGCATTCCAGCAAAGATTGGAAGGTCTTTTCCAACCTCAAGGATACTATGATTCTGAAAGATTTACTGACATTGAGGGGTACTTCCACACTCAGGCATTCTTGTGTGGCCAACACTCACAATTAGTGAAATTACCTCACCTCTGTAAGATGCATAAAAGACTCTCTAAATCCCCAAGTAGGATGTTGAGGGCTGAGCTTAGTGTATTGAATACAAGACTTTTACAGGCTGTCCACATATTGAATGTTTTTCAAGTGCATAAAATACTTCTAAAATCTTTCTATATGCAATATTTACATTGTTAAATGCCTTCTCAGTATTTACAAAATAATGATGTGAAAATTTTGAAAGGAAAAGGATGCTTTCTAGCTAACAAGGTGGAAACGAGTCAGTCACTGCACATCTGTAAAAGAGCATATCTGAACTGAAGTGTATTACAACAAATGCATTTCCATTCATAGATAGAAGTCTGACATAAACTTTAGTACAGAGGTGTTATAATGTATGAGACAGAACTGCCTAGTATATTTCTAAAGTTTCTGAAGGAAAAATATGTCAGCAGAAATAAAAATATCTGCTATTTAACATGAGAGGAGTTTTCCCCTTAAATCTGATAAATAGGAGTTGAAATACGATGGTAATATAAAAACATCTTGAAAGTTCCCCCACTGTAGCTTGTTCTTCTGAGACATCAGCAGTAGTTTTCTGCTTCCGAATAATGCTTTGAGGCACTGTGGTCCTTCTGCTAGATTTTCACCTCCCATCCTCTGCCTTTCAATGGATTACCCCTTGTAGGTAGACACAGATGTGTGACTGCTCCCAGCTGCTGTCACCTCATAGAGTTCCTTCAGATACCTCAATTTCTGTCTCTCTTAATTGAGGAGTCATTATCATCACTTCTTGGGTGGAGTTAGTTTATCTTAATTTAGCCTCAATTTTCTTCTTTCGGTTTTCTTGTTTTATGAGACAGTGACTTCAAAGTCAGCAACTCACCACATGGAAGTTCTCTGCTGAGTCTTCTGTAGATTGAACCTAGTTTCCAATCAGGTCCTAGTAACTCATGGTTTTTTTGGAGGTAGCATTGGTTCAGTTTATATTTATTAACATTAACAGTTCTACAATCCACTTATCACTGTTGAACGTAGTAAGACATATTATGCAATTACCTGTTTTTTGTAGCTCCAGCTCAATTCCCTGACTATGTCCTCGAAACAGACTAAATAAATCTATGCCAATAATGTAATTGTCACAATTTCACTTTCTTCTCCCTTTCAATAAACATATTAACAATGACTCTTCATACTCACATTGCTCATCGATCACTGTATTCTGTGCTTTGCCATGGGAATGATTTCCATGTTTGCTCCTGTCACAATCAGCCTTCAAAATACAGCACATTTTCTCCCCCATCCAAACATAGGACAACACACTTTCTTAAAAACTTAATTTGAGATGACTTGGTGAAAGGTTTGTTAGAATTCAAATAGAAAATATTGATCCATTTCTTATTGATTATCCCTACAGAGTTGAAGGTTGTGATGGTATCTCATAAATATTGCAGCTAAATATAGTATCCTGTAATAGGTTTGAAACACAAAGTTTGTTGGAACAGCTATATCAACTCAGTGACAACAAAAGAAGAAAATACAGATAATTTTGTAGAGCAGTTTGTGGTGCATTTTCTGATGAACAAATATATTAGAAGGATCCAATTAATTCACTTGAACTTGGCATAATGATTATATATTCTAAAATCAAGCTTGCTTTATGTTGCAAAAATATAGCTATCTACAGCCCTTTCTTAAAAACCTGATGTGGTTAGGGCAATTCTTGGATGTTGGTCTTTAGGATTAGAGATAGAAAAGAGCATGATTAGGACAAATATTACAGATGAATTATTTTTCTACACGGCAGCTTCAAATCTGCTGTGCTCATCAGGGTTGTTGGAGTGAATTTCATGTGCATTCTCCTCTTCTGGAACCTGCCATGAAGAATAGACAATAGTTCAGTTAATGAGATATAGACTTGATTTTGCCATAAAAGAAGACTAAAATGCACTGAGAATGTAATTCTCTTTGTATATATTAAATGTCTGTTTAATAACATTGTCCCAGCCTGACATAAACCATCTGTTCTGGATTCTGATGGATGAATTAAAGGTTTCTTCATAGAATTCCTTAACACTGATGTTAGCTATGAGAGTCCATAATTAATATCTGGGATTTTCAAGGTGACAATTTCTGATGAAATGCAAATTTTGTTGAATACCAAATATCAAAATCCTGTCCCATTACCTGATGAAGCTCACTTAGAATTGAGTAGTTTTGTTCAGTGTTAGTGATAATACAGGACCTTCAAATTATCACAGGACAACACAGGCTGTTAATTCTTCAGCCACACTTTAAAACTGTCCTTCTCCTGAAATGTTTTTATCATTTACATATGACAGCCTACTTCAAGACTTGCCAAAACCGGTGCTTTGCCTTTCTCAAGGTCAAGCAGCGAATGACTTGCAGATTTCTCATTAAAATGTTTTGTTTGGTTTTGGTTTTTTTTTCTGATTTTTCATTGCTACAGCTGATCTTTTGACCCAAAACTTCCCCTTTGACTGCAAACTCTCTCTCACCAACACCCAAATTGTGTGTTTGGCTCATACTGACATTTAATTCATTAGAAAACTAATAAAATCTCCTTTTGGCTTTACAACATTTTATTTACAATGAATGTGTATCATATATTCCTTCTTGTCTTGCCTTTTTGGGTTTGTCTTAGCATAAAATTCAGGTTGTCTAAATCAAGAATATGTCATGAGTACCTAATAAGGAAGAGAATGCCTGATACAGTGAACAGTTTAAAGAAAGATAAGGGGCTCCATTGAGGTCTCAAGTTGTGTCTATTTCTGCTTTTTGTTCAAGGTGAGTTCAATGTAAAGGACATGGCTAGCTAAGAAGTCCAAAAAAGATCCTGAAGAATCTTTTAATAGGCCTCGATAAATTCACACCCTGAGGCAGAGCAACATTTTTGAAAGCTAACTCCATGTGCAAACCCCAGGAGAGCAGGGCTGCAGTGTGCTGTACATCTCCTAATGCAATGAAAATAGATAGGGTGTATCTTACCTCCCAATAAACAGAGTCATCAAAGCAGTGCTGGTCAGATACTTGTCCCAAGAAGGGCAGCTTTAGAATAGCACCTGCAGGAAAACCAGCATCAGAGGTTAAAAAATGGCCAAAATGACCAAATAGATGTCTCTCAGATGTGTCCAGGGGAGTCAGTTAGGTTTTCTGACTCATTTCCTTGTCTACAGAAATGCCCTATCCTCTTGGAACATCAGGTAACTCATTATAGAGGTGATGCAGATTTCTTCATATTGACTTGAATAAGAGCTTATTTTTAATTGCTCAAACATTTCCCCGATTTCAGATTCAAATTTTCAGTTTCAGCCTGATGTTTTTGATTTGTTTGGAAGTACCCACAATCACATGGAAACATGTGACACCTCACCAAATATGTCTTAATCGCAAACTAGCTTCTGTTCAGAATTTTAAGCGTCCAAATCCAGAGAGGAATTCCATCCAGAACATCTTACTATTTCTATATATATATAACTCAGTATCTTTGAAGCGTGTATTCAGTAAGATATTTAGAATCAGAGAATCATAGAATCATTAATACTGGAAAAGCACTCCAAGATCATCAAGTCCAAGCTTTGACTGGTCACCACCTTGTCAACTAGACCATAGCACTTAGTACCATGTCTAGTTGTTTCTTGAACACTTTCAGGGACAGTGACTCTACCACCTCTCTGGGTAGCCCATTCTAATGCTGGTCAGCCCTTTCAATGAAGAAATTATTCCTGATGTCCAACAAAACTGCTTTTCCATATTTCAGTTTCTGCCAGCGTGTCATTATGCACTATTTCTATCTCATATTATTAACATGAAATTGTTGATACAATGAAGTTACCCATGGGAAAACCTCTAAATTCACACACATTTCAGTTGCTATATGCATCATACTGACCTGTCAGTGCTCCTCCTGCCAGTGCAATTCCAAGTGTACTGCCCAGGGCAGCAGCCTGCTTGCCAGGAGTAAATGGGATATCACTGGAAAGGGTAGAAAACCAAATCATTGACTATCAAAAAATTGTTGCACTTTAAGATTGGTAATTTGTCTTACAATATTGAAAAAAAATGCTGAACAAGGTGGGTCATAAGGAAAATACCCTGGAAATATTAAGGTTGGAAAAGATCTCCAAGATCATTGAGTCCAACAAATCCTGCCATTGCTGTGTACAGGATAGAAATCATGAGTTTATTTTGGTTAAATTTTAGACTGCAGATGAAAAGAAGTTCTTTGAATAGGTTACTAGTATCCTACACACCTTTAGAGAATGTTCCCTGTTGTCAAAAGGACCAGAATTTCATCTTCTTGAAGCCTTTTAAGATAGTGGAAATAGCCCATATTTCCCAATTTTCTGGGAAATCTTACAGTTATAAGCAGCGTAACTGTAGAATCATAATAAAGACTTTTCTATATTTGAATGGTTCTGTGTTCTGGTTTTTATGATTTTTAAATAAATTTTTTTTTAAATTTTAACTTTTAATCTGGAACAAGCTTAGCATTTAAACTGTGTGAAAGGCAGGAGATCAAGAAGAATCCCATTTAAATCAGAACACCATGTCTGACATAAAATCACACATGCATTTTTCCGAAAAAACAATTATAATTAGATTCAAACAAGGTAGAAAATGAGGACAGACCTTCAAAAATCAGACAACTCTTTTTGTTCTTCTTTCTATAACTCACCGAGTTCCCCCTTTTACTGCAGTTACTATGATGCCAGCAATACCTCCCAGAATTCCAGGTAAACCATGTAAATTATGAACTCCACAAGTGTCTTGAATGTGCAGCTTGGATGCCAACACAGGCTGAAATGAGGGGAAATAGGAAGTTTATAGTGAGTTTAGTCTTTCATTATCTCTAGAATGATATGCAAAAGAAAGCAGTGCAAAAGTACAAGAATCAAATTATTAATAATTATTTAATGATTATTAAATCATTATCCATAGTTTTCTGTATCAGCCAGTTTCTATCCTCCTTTTCTTCCAAACCAAGGGAGTTCTGAAAGTCAAAGAGCAACAAGTAAATGAGAGCAGAGGTGGGTCACCAACACTTACAGTCAGGAAGTGGAACCCAAGGACAGAGACAATTCCAGCAATGATCCCAATGCACATGGCAAGAAAAGGGTGGATTGGCAGGTCAGCACAGGTACCCACTGCGACTCCTCCTGCCAGGGTGGCATTTTGAATGAGAACCTGCAGAGGGGACACAGAGGTGGAGGTGATATATCAGGAACAGAGGCTTGTTTTAGGGCTGAATGACAAAGTTCTCTTGCACATACAGGTTTTCCTTTTCTTCAGGTGGGATTTTTCTAATGATGAATTAACAGGAATTTAAAACAAAGTTCCCTGTTACATGTTCAGGCTATTAGTTCAAAGCTACTCTAAGGCAGTTGAATGAAGTCCAGCTCTTGCAAAGTCACTAAAATTTGCCTGATCTCTCGAGACTCTGGGCTGGGCCAGTGAGAGCTGCCTGCTACAACAGCAGCCTGCTCATGCTGGGCTCTGAGAAAAACTGCAGTGCTGGAAAGAAGTGGGTGAAAACATAGGGCTGGATTTTAGGACAAGGAGATGACAGGTAGCCAGCCAGCCTGCCCCAGTCTAGTTTGTTTGGTTTTGCCTGTTGTGCAACTGCAGTATGAGATTGCCAGGGAACAGTCTGTTGCCTTGAAAGACTTATTTTGGCTGCTGCAATAAGGTAACTCAAACAGGTCTGTCTTCCGAATAAGACCCAAAAGTCCACCTGAGTATTGGTCTAATGTCGCTTTGGTCCACTGGGTTCTGTGGACAAGAGAGAATCATCATAGAATCACAGAATCATAAAGGTTGGAAAAGACCTTTAAGATTATCAAGTCCAACAGTTCAGCAGCACCACCATGATGCCTGGACAGTCTGCTCTAATGATTTCCAACACTTTCTGAGAAGAATTTTTCCTAATATCCAATCTAAACCTTCCCTGGTGCAACTTGGGGCCATTTTCTCTCATCCTGTCACTTGTTACCTGGGAGAAGAGACTGAACCCTACCTGGCTACAACCTCCTTTCAAGCAGTTGTAGAAAATGAGAAGCTCTCCCCTGAGCCTCTTTTTCTCCAGGCTGAGCCCTCTCAGGTCCCTCAGCCACACCTCATCAGACTTGTGCTTCAGACCCTTTCCTAACTCCATTGTCTATCTCTGGACACACTCCAGCCCCTCAATGTATTTCTTGTAATGAAAAGCCCAAAACTGACCCCAGGATTCCAGGTGCCTCACCAGTGCCCATCAGAGGGCACCGGTCACTTCCCTGGTCCTGCTGGCCACACTATTTCTGATACAGGCCAGGATGCCCTAGGCCTTCTTGCCCACCTAGGCTCAATGCTGGCTCATGTTGAACTGCTCTTGACCAGAACCTCCAGGTTCTTTTCTGCCAGGCAATTTTCCAGTCACTCTTCCCCCAGCCTGTAGTACTGCATGGGGTTGTTGTAACTCAAGTGCAGGACTCAGCACCGTGAACTTGCTGAGGGTGCACTCAATCCCCTTGTCCAAGGCATCGATGAAGATATTAAGCAGGGCTGGCCCTGGGAGCAGGACCATTACTATAAATGTCACTTTTCACTTCCCAGATTCAGTGATCCCACTTACAAATCACCCTATACCTAAAGCAGGGTGGGTTGCCTCAGGGCCTAATCTTACTTTATAGCTTTTACTAGTATAATAGCTCTAGCTCTGGCCAAAGTATGAGCAAAGGCTCCAGAAAGCCTGGACGGATACAAAGACATTGGGAATTTTCCTAAATCATCCTTGTTATAGAGGGTTGACTCAATTTAACAGAGGTTATGTTGTGATTCTTACCATACTGAATTTGCCTCTTTGATCCACCAAGCTGGAGAGGGCAAATGTTATGATGGTACATGCAGCCAAGGAATAGTAAGTGTTGATAATTGCTATCCTCTGGGAGGATGCATCAGGTGCAATGGCAGAGTTAAAACTGGGCCAAAAGAGCCAAAGAAACAGGGAACCTGGATGAATGTAAGTCAAAACAAAGGCTATTCAGTCACAAGGGCTTTTGTAATGTGCAAGACCCAACACAACAGAGCTAGCTACAAGAAATGAGGATGATCAATAAGAAATATGGAAAAAAACAAAATGCTGGAAGAAATAATAGATTATACAGACACTGTCTATTAGAATTTTGACACATGGTCTCTGTCCAATCTTTCTGGAAGACTTTAACGTGTTGTGACCCTTTGTCATGTCCCTTTTATTGCCAGAGTTCACCACCACTGTATAAACCCAACCAGAACAGGAGGCATTAGCAAGACAGTTCACATGCAAATCTTTTATCATCTATTAATATAACTGATAGTTTTAGCTGGTAAATTGGTCTATGAAGAGATCTCATGGGCAGACAGGTATATGGTTTCTAACATCCATTGCCATGACAGGCACAGCTTAATTCTTTTAATTATGGACAATTTCTATGGAAATGCTGCTTAACAGCAAAAGGAAGTCACCACTAATGCACAGTAAAAACACACCTTTAATTTGATCTTTCACTTTTATTTTCCAAGGAGAATTCTAACAATATGCATGCCACTGAAAATATGGTGCATGCATCAGACTAAAAAGAATTTGCCTCTAGAAGCATATTTAGGAAAATGAATGCAGCACAATAACAGGTAATCAATAAAAAATAGAGATGAAAGAGGGATGAAAAACTAACTGATCAACACTCACTATTGCTTCACTTACCAATCATGGCAAACAAGTCTGAATGATAGGTAGATTCATCATTTTCATGTTTGTTGTTCAGACCAGGACGATACAAGACTAAGGCTACAGCCAAACCAAAATAAGCTCCAAAAGCATGGATAGTCATCGAGGCTCCAACATCTGTGGCCTGCAATAGGGACCCAAAATAATGCCACAGATTTTATATAGCATAAAGATGAGGATTTGATGAAGGAGAAGTCTGGGTGACTTTAATGGCTTAATTTCTATGGTAGAAACTAGAACCTGTAATTTTCAAAGTGGAAGTATTACAAAGTCAAAGCATTTTTTATCAATAGAAAACAATTATTGCTAAATAGTTGTACCTCAAATATTTCAGTAACCAGATGTTCATTGCACGCGAAGATGGTGATCTCCAGAATTGTCAGGATCAGCATCTGAATGGGAGTTGTTTTCCCCAGGACTGCTCCAAATGAAATCAAAGCAGTTGCTGTACTGAAGTCTGCATTTATTATGCTGAAGTTAAGAAAATGAATAAAGCAAAAACAACACATGAAAAAAAGAAAATCAGTTTAAAGGCTGTATTAGCCACCATGCAATATTATTAAAATGAGAGAGCTTTAACTTTATAGATATAAAATTATTGAAGTCATCTTTGTGGATAACAACTAAATCAAGCCTTTCAAAACGGTTTTTGTTGTCTGTTTTTGTGGGGTTTTTGCTTTATGTTTTGTCTTACTAGCTACTGAGGAGTAAATGTGGGAAGGTTTCTTCCTGCTTATACAATACACATGCTTAGCTGTTTGAAATTATAGTGAAAAGGCGAATGAGATGTGCATTATATGCAGGGATATCACAGCAACATGGAATCATTTAGGCTGGAAAAGATCTCTTTGAGTCCAACCATTAACACAGCACTGCCAAGTCCATCGCTAAACCATGTCTCTCAGAGCCACATTCACATGTTTTGTTAAACACTTCCAGGAATGGTGACTCCACTATTGCTCTGGGCAGTCTGTTCCAATACCTGACCACCCTTTTAGTGAACAAAGTTTTCCTAATCTCCAATATAAACCTCCCCTGGCACAACTCAAGGCCACTTCTTCTTGTCCTGTCACTTGCTACTTGAGAGAAGAGACTGACCCCCACCTGAATGCAACCTCCTTTTAGGTAGTTGTAGCCAGGAATGGTGACTCCACTATTGCTCTGGGCAGTCTGTTCCAATACCTGACCACCCTTTTAGTGAACAAAGTTTTCCTAATCTCCAATATAAACCTCCCCTGGCACAACTCAAGGCCACTTCTTCTTGTCCTGTCACTTGCTACTTGAGAGAAGAGACTGACCCCCACCTGAATGCAACCTCCTTTTAGGTAGTTGTAGAGAGTGATAAGGTAAGGTCCCGAGTTTCCTTTTCTGCAGACTGAGCCCCACCAACTCCCTCAGACAAAACTCATCAGATTTCCCCAGATCTGTTGTCCTTCTTTGGATGTGCTCCAGCACCTCAATTTCCAGCCCTGACTGTCACTTGGATTTGAAAGATGACAGAGCTCTTAGCTTTGATCAGATGATTTATATCATTCCCAAAGCCTTGTATGCCTTTCTGTCACTATGGTCCATGTTTCCACTAGCTGTTAGGAAGTACCAGTGTTAACAGGTTTTGGGGAATGGAAAAGGTAAATAAAACCACAATTTGGTTAAAAGCTTGGAGCACAAAGAGGCACTAACTTATGTGTCCCTCTACCAATGCCTGCTTGGAAATATTAAGAAGATACTTATATTGCTCCTGCTTGTCTCTCAGTAATGTTTGGATGCTGTTCCTTTAAAACTTCTATACAACTTGTCTCAGAAAACATAACTGCAGATGTGGTAAACACTCTGAGACCTTGGTAGAAACAGGACAGATGAATGAGAGGGGTATCAAGAGTGCCTAGAGACATTGCTCATGAGGTCTCTTATTCTATAATTGGCATTCAGACTCAACTGCAGTATGATGCCCATGAAAATCATTCCTTGAGAAGCAAGAGAAAACCTCATGAGCCTTTTTTCTGTGACCCTGTTTCATGGAAAGACAGATCCTTTCATACCTGCTGGATGCAGGATATGCTGTGCTACTGCTGGAAGTCTTCCAGCTTCCACAGCTCTAGAGATTCAAAGCAATCTCTCTACAGGACCTATAGCCCACACATAATGCAGCACCTCAAATTTCATCCCACACTCTGGTTCCTTTGGCCCAGTGCACCAGGTGTGGCCTCTTCAGAGGTAAAAGGCAAACAGATGTTGAGAGGTGAACAGTAAGGCTCAATGAAATTTAGATGAACTTAGAGTCTGATCCCACAGATGTTGTAGTTGATTGCTTCTCCTGATATCTTAAGGGACAGAAATATAACTTTTTGTAAATTCACATGTACCTTTTGAAATTAACATGAATTTTCCCTGCTTTCATGTGCCAAAGTCCTTGCATCAGAGTTCCCCACTGGAGACCGAAGGCAGCAATGAGCATATTGATACCAACACTGCTGAATCCATATTTCTTCAGGAAGGTCATCAGGAAACCAAATCCAACAAATATCATCACATGAACATCCTGGAAGTCTGAAGGAAAAACATGTCTGTGGAGTGACTATGAAGAGTGACTGCAAAGGGTGGAAAGCTCGGGACAAAGGAGGATTTAATAGAAAAGAGTTCCAAACTCCTGTCATGGCTGTGATCCATTCTTCCCCACTTCAACACCAGTCTACTAGTTGAAGATTGAGTGTCTGGAAAATGCAACTCCAAATTATTATTTATATTTCTTCCTATATCATTATGGAAAGAACACCTCATCTTTATACTAGGAAATTTGTTGTCTGGTAATGTCCTCTGTTTGTGAAGCTGCCTGGAACAACATACAGCTTCATGTCCTTATGGAAAAGTTATGTTCCCATTCAAATAAAGATTGTCACAGCTAGTGTGTTCTGCCTAACTCCAAAAATTGTACATGGGATTTGTTTGTGTGAATGCCAAGTGTGCCAGTGCAAAGGTATGCTTGGGATCCCTAAAAATTACTCTATGAGACATGGATTTATTTACATGAATAAAAGAAAAAGTTCTTTTCAGCTAAAGTTTAAATTAGTAAATTAATATTTTTAATCAACATGCACTTAGGACTTCAAATGTTTGTTGAGTTTTTTCAAATATGAATTTTGCTAAAATATGGTTAGATCTTTGTCTACTTTATTCTTACCTTTTTATTTTTATTCATTTTTTAAGCTTTTAATGCAAACTTGGTTTATCACCACAAAATGGATCCTTTACATTTTAAAATATTTTCTGACTCTGAAGTTTTATGTGATTTCATCGTCTCTACACTAAACATGTGAGCCCTGTAATTACAGCTTTTTCTCTGATTTTATTGTTAGTAAGAACCTCAGAACAGAGAAACTGTTTCTTTTACTTTCTATTTCCTTGGTCTTACGTGAAAATCTATGTGAAAACCTTGAGACATTGAACTGATTAGTGTAATAGCTACAATTTCCTCGAAGTTACAATTCCCATTACTTTGAGCATTCTGTAGCTTTGCTGTATGCGTTACCATGTTTAGCCAAAAGAGGGCCCAGAAGCATAACAAGTTACAGGAGATTCCTAATAAACTCTTATATTTGCACTGTCATGTTTCAGCCCTGACCTAGCACTGAAATACAGAAATGTGTGTAGCAAGAGCCTTTATGTTGCACCTAAGGAACAGCATTGTTGGTTGACTTGGAATTAGAAGATATTTAGAGTCCCTTCCAAATTAGTACCCAATATACTACCATTCTATAGAAATTAATGTGGTTCACAAACATCCTCAACCTTTTTTGCTTCCTCTTAGGCTAGACATTTTCACATTTATTTCCTGGCTTCAATAATAGCTGGTGATAGGATTTTTGAGGCTCTTCAGTCACAAAATGGTTTGGGTTGAAAGGGACCTTAAAGACCATTCAGTTCCAACCCCTCTGCAATGAGCAGGGACACCTTCCACTAGACCAGATTGCTCAGATCCCTATCCAACCTGGCCTTGATCACTTTCAGGGATAGTGCAGCCACAACTTCTCTGGGCAGCCTCTTCCAGTGCCTTTGGAAGGTTCCCATTTTCCTCCATGTTACTCAGTTTCCGTAATTAGTATGTAAACTCTTTTGTGGTGCTTACTACTTATTTCAGAAGATATAACATAGACTTAATTTCCCCATTTGGATTTCTGCTTTGCCTGTTGCAATGCTGTGTGAAAATAACTGTCTTGCTCAGAGCTCAGCATATTCCCTTGCTTTAGGGAACATGGCAGGAGATCACAGAGTCACAGAATCACAGAATTGTAGAATTGTTTGGGTTGGAAAGGACCTTCATCTGCTTTCAGTCCCCCTGCCATGGGCAGGGATGCCACCTCTAGATCAGGCTGTCCAGGACATTGTCTAATCTGGCCTTGAGCAGACTACACACACCATGCTAATACAACTTCCTGATCCTACCAGCAACAGAGTTTTTAGTGGATGCAGAATCCAAAACAACGCTAAATTTGCTCATATTCCTGTGTCAGAGGGAGCCAGCAGGGTGTGTTTAAGATAAGGATAATAAAGGATAGGATCATTTGATGGGTACATCTTCCTGTGCACCCTCCCAGCTTGCAGTAGCCTGTGCCACAGGAACACAGAGCTATGCCTCCAGAAATGACTTGATCATGGTGGTGGGCTGCACATCTAGAGTACCTCCTCTTCCAATGTCTTAGAAAAAAATGCAGTAGGGGCTAGTGTCAGTAGGACTTCTAGTGGATAGTCTTTTAGCCTTCCCAGCATTCCTTCTCTTTTTTATTTTCTTTTAAGTGGGATAAAAATAGGTTGGGAGGTCACACGAGAAATCTCTTCTCAAATAAGGGAAGTATTGGAAGACCT